CCTCGGCTAGTCCAGAAACCCGAGTTCTTGATTCCTCCCCACTTGTTGCATCTCTCGTTTGGAGCAGTGACTCCTGTTACCATCCTTTAAATTTGCTCAGATTTTGAGCCTGAGAAGTAAATGGAGGAGAGGAGCTGTGAGAAGAGGGGAAGGGCCAGTATCTTTCCTTCTAGACTTGCCAGAGATTAATAGCATTTCACACTCAATGGGAAGAAGAGCACATTGTCAAGTGGAAGAAATTATTGCCCCCCCCCCCCCCGGTGCATTTACTTCTTTTTCTTTTTCAGTGGTTCTGAACTGTGCAGTTTTCCCCCAGCCCTTTGCACCCATGTGGAAATTGGCCTACAAGGGGTCTCCCCTTGCCAATGTCCTAATTTGTGGCCTGTTCCACTTTGGTGCTCCCTTTGACGGCTGAGGCCACAAATGCCAGACGGCGGAATCTGAGCTCTTGCACACTTGCAAAAGTCTAGGAAGATTTTTTTTTAATTGCACAAATTTTAAGATCCAAGCATGCACACCCAACATTCCATTTTTATTTTTATTCCCCCCCCTGCAAATTGCCACCATTAAAAGAAGAAAAACTGGATTCATGTATTGGCTCTACCTGCCACAGGTTAAGGCAACGCCAGTGGAGGCCGGTAGGGCGGAGGCCAGAAGAAAATCTCGCGAGGCCAAGCCAGAAAAATCCATCCAGTTTCTATGGCTGAAAGAGAATTGTTCGCCCTCCCCAGAACGGCCTTGTCGTTACACCACAGTGCCACCCGGGGGTCTTGAGAGGCAGGAGCAGGGACAACGTCCGCCGCGGGCACAGGGCGGCAAGCCCCAATCCTGCAAGGACTGCCACGTGAAGAGTCTCCGAGAAACCTCCGTCGGCCGGCAGGTTCCCCCGATCGGTCTTGATGGCTCCCGTCTGGCGCAGGGGCAGCAAAGCTCCGAGAAGCCTCGTGGAAGAGGCGGGGAATCCGACCGTGGGGCAATCGGGTTGATTTCCGCAGGGCTTGGAAGTGGGTACAAGGTTGCAGCGGCCTTCACGTGCTTATCTGTGGGGTTGATCGTGCCCCCTAAAGGGGGACCTTTAGGTCCAGATGACCCATTTGTCAGGCGATCTCCCAGCACTTTGGGGAAAGCTGTAGGGAGGTGCAGACTTTGACCTGGAGCAGTGGGGTGCGTGCAGGTGTTTAACCGACCGGCTGCCCTGATCCAGATGTGGCAGACTTCAGAGCAGCGGAGTTTATGGTGCGTGCAGCTCCACCTGCCTGATTATAGGTATTAGGGCGGTATGGTGTCTGTCTACTCTGCAGGGTGTGCACAGGGAAAACTGATTCGGAGTCAGAAACCTCCCTCATAGCTCAGCAGATTCCAACTCCTCCATCAGCCTGCGAAGCATCAGCCCCTCGCAGCTGTATCTGCCTGACACCTGCAGCAATTTGTAAGCTTCAAGGAGGCAAATTGGAGCAGGGAAGCAGCCCAGGGCAGGTGGTCAAGGAACTACTGGCAGCGCCACTTCCTGGGTCAGGTTTGGGCCCTGGCCACTTTGGGATGCACTGCCCTGTCCACTTGGAAATGCAGGTTACACTCACACACGTCATTTCTCTTAATGACATGCGTGAGAATGTCATTAAGAGAGAAATCCTTTCCAGCCTGTGATACCAGTTTTAAGTGTGCTGAAGATGGGTCCAAATGTCTGCACACGACTCATTAAGAGAAATGACATGCAATCCTGTCACCACCATACTGGTCCTGAAGTGCTGTAGGCATTCCGTGTCACTTTTAAACATGCATTTCAGTCCATCCTGTCTGCAGTGGCAGGATGCCAATGCTGGTGTTATGAAAAGCTCTGGCCTGTTTTCTGGCTCTAGGGTGTCTCACGGCATGCAGTGTGACCCTGGAAATGTGCAGGTCAGCTGTGGGCACACCTGGCCTCTGCTGACCCGTGTGCTGCAGAGAGGTTTGCTGGGAAATGTGGCTGCTCTGCTGACACCCTGAAGGCCTCCTGGAGCTTCAGCAGGACACCCTTCCCAGGTTATGGCCAGGAAATTGCTGCAGAGACTTGCTCGGGAAAGCGGGTCTGAGCATCCCTTCTCCGGCCTTGCCTCCCTCACCTCCCTATTCTCTGGCCATTTTGCAAGGATCTGTGCGGCCACACTGGGGCTCTCATTTCTTCAGGCTTCAGTGCAGTCACGGTCCAGGGAGTGCTCCTTCCCTCCCACCAATTACGGGGTTCGTGGCTTTTGAGGCCCTTGCAGCACCCCACCTAGCGTGGACAAAGGAGTGTGGCGCAGCTTTTAGGCATGGTGCTTTGCAGAAAGGCCAATGGCCCCCTGGCCCCCAGGGATCCCCAGGAAGCCTCGTTCCTCCCTGTGCCACCAACTGCTTGGTGGTTTCCTAGCTTTTGTGCATTTCTTCCCCCTTCTCAAAGATCAAAACACTCCTGCCAAGGCTTAATTGTGGGTGGTCACAAAGGGCTTTAAGCTAAACATGCTGGCATGTTCGGTGCTTTGGTTCCACCCCTTTTGCCTTTGGCCCCATCCAAGTGGAACTTGGACCTCAGCTGAAAGAAGTTCCGCACCCCATTTTGTGCTTATTCATTCTGGGTTGTTCTCAGTACTTCATGAGCTGAACCCTGACCAAAGCTGAAAGGACACACCAACTTCATTAAGCGGAAGCATGAAGTCTTGTGCTTGACTGACAGACCTGGGGACTGCCCAGCACCCCTGGGCGCTCTGCCTGCACACTGCAGCCAGATGCTGTGGGTGATGCCCAGTTGCCACCTCCACGGGAGGCTCAGCTGGGGCCAACGAGGAGAAGGGCCTTTCCAGTGAGGTCCTCCTACAGATACGGAATGAGCTTCCACTGAGCTCCACCTGGTGCTGACCTGACTATCTTTTCCGCACTATGAAAGGATCATCCTCAATTGGAGACCATCCTCTGCTTCAAGTAGCTTTTGGGGCCTGCTAACTGTGAAAGGGGTCGGAGTACTTTTCTTCTTTATGTTATTGCACATGCACGTGAGTGCACCCCCCCCCCCCGTTTAATATAGTTTTAAATTTTGCAAACTTTAATGTTATTTTAATATGCTTTCAATGCAATGTACTTTATTGTTTTTTTTAATGTGCTTTGTGAACTGCCCAGAGAGCTTTGGCTTCTGGACAATATAGAAGTAAAATCAAAATAAACAAAGGAATAAGCAAATTCACGTGTGCAGCAGGAAGCGCTTCCAGGAAGCACCGGTTCTCCCGCCGTGGCGCGTCCACGGATGGATGCGCAGGCAGACCCCAGCACTGCAGCCCGCATGCCGCCCCCAGGCTCACTCCCTGGCAGCTCCAGGCAAGGCGGGGCAAGCCCCAGGGGACGTTCCTCAGGAAAAGGACATTCTGGTGTTCTGCATGACCTAACGTGCCGTTTCCCCGCAGTCCCAGACTGGTTTTTGTCTGCTCGGGGCCATCGGTGTGATTCCTCAGCGGAGCCCCTCACTGCACGCACAATCCCTGTTTTGTGCCAGCTGCGGTTCTGGTGTCAAAGGAAATGGGGCACAAGCAGCCCCACTGTCTACCTGCCACTCTGCACACTTCCTGCCTGCTCTTCTGTGTTCAAGGCTTTTGCACAGAAACACAGAATAGCAGAGTTGGAGGCAGCTAGATGGCCATCAGGTCCAACCTCCTGCTCAGTGCAGGGCTCCAGGTCAAACCATCCCTCTCAGAATGCTGCCCAGCTGCCTCTTGGATCCCTCCAGGTGGGAGAGCCCACGCCTCCCTGGTCGTGGGGTTCCACTCCCATACTGCTCACAGTGATGAAATGTTTCCTGATACCTAGCCAGTATCTGGCTTCCTGTCATTGTGTAATGTTCGAGAAGCACAACAATTCTTTACCCCAGACTGAAACCTACATAAATTACATGAATAGAAAAAGAGTTTGCTATTGAGGATATTGTTCAGCAAGTACTGGGAAAGATGAGGAGGAAAGGGTGATGAGGCCTCTGGGCTTTCTTTCTGCAGCCATGCCTGTCTCCTAAGACAGAATGGCTCACACAATGCCATGCATCTCTTCACAGTCATAGGGGCTAGCAACCTGATTCAGAAAATAAAAAAGCAGATTTGCACGTTGCTGAGCCCAGTACCATGTTCTTTCAGGCAGGCAGGGAGAGAGTTAGTTCAGACAGAAGCGAGGGTCAAACATGGAGGTTCTTTTATTGCACAGATGGACATCTGGACATTAAGCAGTGGAGGTTGTGCCAGCCGGGGCACTGCGTGATGCTCAGGGCGCGTGTGGCTGGCCTTGCTTGCAATGCAGGCTTCGGACGAAGGCGGAGGCAACATTCGGGGCAGCGCAGTCCCTGCCCGCTGCACAGCGCACAACCTGTGCCACGGGTTCCCCCACGGAGAAGGACTGTGGCTGTGGCTCCCCGGGCGAGCTGCCGGACCTCTCCCGCCTCGCCGCCTCCACCAAACATTACTTTTGAAGGTGGCCTGCCTGTGCCACCAACCTCCATTTAAAGCAGCCGCAGAACCTGACTGGCAGGTGTGTGTGTGTGTGTGCGCAGGTGGAGGTGGCGGGGGGGGGGGGAGTCGGTGGTCGCCAGTGCTGGCCAAACAGTGCTCAGCACCGCCACTCCCGTCCTCCTGAAGCCTGGAGTACCTTTTGCGCTTGCTTTGTGCTTGTTCCAGGATAGGAAGATGGGCACAGCCCTCTGTGGCAGGGAAGGCGCTCGGAACCCTCCTCTGCCCCTCAGAACGCCACCTGTGCCAGTCCTCACCTCCAGGGGGCTGGGAGGCTCTGGTGGGCAGGGGTGGATGGGAGGAACGAGGTGTGTGAGAGACTGAGCAGGACAGGGAGGGGTGTGTGGGCTGCCGGAGGAAGAGGCAAGCCCGGAACGGGGAGGGCAGGAGCATCCTGCATCCGCTCGGACAGCTGGCAGGGCCTGAGGGGGCATGGAGGGGAGCGATCTGAAGCAGCGGAGGCGGTGGACAGGCGGGCGGGCGGGCAGGGGCCAGGTCGGCCCCCTAGTGCTTTGCTATGTCCCCCTTTTTGAGGATGACCTGCCTCTGCCATGGCGCCAGTTTGGTCTCATCGTACCCGAGAGTCCGTAGCTTTTCTGACTGCTCCTTCTCTTTCTCCTCCTCTTCCTGTCGCAGCTTCTCTTGCTCTTTTCTGTAGGCAGAGAGGCCATGTCAGTGTCAGTCACCGAGGCCTGGAAAGCCCCGAGGGCAGACCTGGGCCGAGGGACACCTCCTGGCCAAGGGCACCTGCGAGGGCAGGAGCGAGTCGGGCTGTGGGGTGGCCGGGACCAGAGGGGCCTCCGCCTCCTGCCCCTGTGTGGCCCCCTCCTGAGGCTGCTGCAAGAGCCGCACTGCGGGGTCAGCGGCAGCTTGCCCGGCCCTGGGGGCTCGGCCTGCCCGCCAGCAGGAAGGGTCCCTACAATGTGATGATGCCCTTGGCTGAAGGAGAGGTGAGCACCTGGCCACACGTGCTCTGTGCAAGAAAGCAACCTTGCGGAGGGACGGGAGTGGGTGACATCCCCCCCCCCCGGTCTCTTATGCTCCGGATTCCAGCGTGATTGAGGCAACAGGGCCACCAGGCCAACATCCTTGCTTCCAACTCGGGGGCACTGAGCATGACGGACTTTGACCTGGGCAGAGGATGGTGTCCCTCCACCCTTGGGCCTTCTTGCCACCAGCCCAGCACGCCTGCCTGCTGCCTGGTTTCCTGCAGCTCCCTGTGGGCAGGCGGGTGGGTGGGAGGCCTCTCCTCCCTGGCAGATGCTGGGAATCTGGCAAAGGCCGGCATGTCCCGGGCTCCTGGCCCATGCCCACGTGTCCTGTTCCAACACTCCGCCACATCCCCCTCTGCCGGGTCTGGGCCACACGGCCAGCCACCCGGCCTGCAGGCCACAGCGATGGCAGTTCACGTGATGGGGGCCCTGAGGCGGTCAGCCTCCCCCGAGGGCCACGGTGCGCACGGCAGCCCGTCTCCAGCAGTGCGCGAGGTGGCGTTTGAGGCCTCTTCCGAAGGAGCCCAGATGCCCACTGCGGCCGCTTAAGTCGGGTGGGCACACAAGTCTTACCTTTTCTGCTCTCTGCGGAAGAAAAGAAAGAAGCAGAGGGTTGGGAAAATGCACCAGCTAAACGTCTACATGCAGCATCCCAGGTGGAGGCCGGCTCACGCTGAATCGCCTAAGAGTTAGGGCAGGCAAGGCGCGCACTCTGGGTGATGCTCAGGAACCGGGAGTTACTGGCTTCCTGGCGGAAACGAACGCGAGGGCAGCGGGCGGCTCGTGTGTTGGCAAGCCCGGGCCAAGCGCAGCTTCTGCCCTCACAGCCCTGCCTGGTACGGGAGAGCAGAGCCCGGCTGGCCAACAACAATCGATCGACGCCCAGGGCACCCTCCCCACTGCCCACCAGAGGAGGCCCCCAGTGCTGGATGCGGGACAGAGCTGGAGTGCGGCTTCAATCTACTGTTGCCATCATTTGTCATTTATTATCACAGTGGCGCAGAGCAGGCAGCCGGGTTACCCTTTCGGGGGAAGCGCAGAGCCGGGAGGGGGTGCGGGGCCTCTCCTGCAGCGGGTGCTCATCTGGCCCACCAGACAGCCACCAGGGCCTGCTGGGGCGGGGGAAGCTGGGTTGGGGGGTGAGCACGGCGCTCCCAACCTCGTCTGCATGGCTCCCTCTGGGGCTGGCCTGCGCTGGCAGGGGGCGGCCCCAGCCTGCAGTTGCCCCCCTTCCCGGTAGCAGCCCACCCGTGCCAACGCCTCGCTCACCTCTCCTCCTCCATCTTCTTGCGCAGGATCTCCCTCCGCCAGGCCGGCATGGTGGCCAGCCGGGCCTCCTCCTCTCTCTCCTGCAAGGCAAAGCACGCGTCTGAGGGGTCTCTTCCCACCTGAGCTCAAGGGGTGACTGGCAGGGTGGAAATCGGGCTGGGGGGAGCAGAAGGGCAACTGGATGTTGCCTCTCTGAGGTTCCACATCGGGAACGGAGCGCGTGTCTGCCAGGAAAGCCCTGGCAATGCCATGAACTGCCCTTCCCCACCCTGGCCCCCTCCAGAGGTGCTGCACTGAAGCACCCATCATTCCCAGCCATCAGGTAATACAGCTGTCCTGAGCATGGTGCCACAGTCACAGGGATGGGAGGCTCCCGGGGCTGCTCACGTGCCTGAGACCCTGGGAAGCTGGCCACCAAGCCAGGGCCGTGAGATCAATTCCATAAAGAAGGTGGCGGAACATCATGGACTGTGTCCCCACTCATGGCGGAGTACTGTGCAGAGCTTAGACGCGAGGTCTGGCCACTGGCAAGCTCCAGGGAAGGGCAATTCTGTGTTAGTGAAGCACCTGTCCATTGATTACTACAACTGTGAGGGCAGCAAGCAAGATCAGCTGCCCACTGGGTGGGCTCTTTCAGGCACAGCAGCCCTCCTGGGAAGATTGCGCCGTGTGGCATCCATTCCTCCACTTGCATACATTTCCCATGAGCAAGAACCACCATTTTCCTGTTGCAAGAGAGACTCTGTTGCACCAGAATGGCCCAACTGCACAGGACACCTACTGGGCAACCTCTGTGACGTCACAACACAATGTATCTATTGTCTAGCCATGTATTTCCCAAAGCCTTTTAATCTCCTTGACTAATAACTTCAACAAATAAGTTCAAATCTCTAGGGACCAATGAACTTCATCCCAGAGTCATAAAAGAGCTAGCGGAAGAACTCTCAGAACCACATCTATCATCTTTGACAGGAGAAGTGCCCGGTGACTAGGGAAGGGCTAATGTCGTCCCCTTCTATAAGAAAGGAAAGAAAGGTGAACTTGGGAACTACAGGCTACTTTGTCTGACATCAATCCCTGGAAAAATTCTAAAACAACCAGTCTGCAAACACCTTGAAGACAATGCAGTAATTACTAGAAACCAGCATGGATTTCTCAAGAACAAATCCTGCCAGACTAATCTAATTCCATTTTTTGACTGGGTAACCTCACAAATGGACTGTGGGAATGCTGTGGACCTCTAGACTTTATTTAGACTTTAGCAAAGCCTTCGACAAAGTGCCCCACAACATCCGGATGACCAAATTAGCAAAAAGCAGGCTAGATCATGCAACCATTCGATGTGTCCACAACTGGCTGCAAAACGGGACTCAAAGAGTGCGCGTCAGTGGCAGGTTCCCAGACTGGGGAGAGGTGACGAGTGGGGTGCCACGGGGTCCCGCCTTGGGACCAGCGCTCTTCAACGTGTTTATTTAGGTGAGGAAGTGCAAGGAAAGGTAATTAAATCTGCAGGCGGCACAAAGCAAATACCCTGGAAGGCAGAGGTAGGATACAGGGTGATCTCAATAGGTTAGAACGCTGGGCAGAGAGCAACAGAAGGACAATCAGTCAGGACAAATGCCAGGTCCTCCACTTAGGAACAAGAAACAAATGCACCGTCACAAGATGGGGAACACTTGGCTTAGCAATACTGCAAATGGGAAGGATCTCGGGGTTGCTGTAGATCACAAGCTAAATACGAGCCAGCAGGGTGATGCAGCTGGAAAAAGGGCAAATGCTATGTTGGGCTGCATGAGTAGAAGCATCACTTCCAAATAACTGTCAAAGCAGTCCAGCAATTGAGCTTATTACCTGGGGCTGTTGTGGGCTCTCCCGCACTGGAGACATGCAAAGAGCATCTGGACAGTCATCTGAATGGGGTGGTTTAGCTACGTCCTGCCTGAGCAGGGGGTTGGACTCGACGGCCTTCTGGCCCCTTCCAGCTCTACTATTTCATGGTTGTATGAAATGCATTATCTACCATTTGTGTTCCCATCTGCTCAGCCCTGGTGCACATAACCATGGAAATGCCTCTCTGTTCCTTTTTAAAATATCCAGTCCATAAAATATTCTGTAGGTTCAAGAAACCCATGGCCATTGCAGGGCCAGCAAAAAATGTATTCCACTGGTAAAAGGCCTTTTGCCTGGAAAGAACTGCCTCACTTCTCGTTGTTTCTTGCAGTGAATGCAAGAGTGCAACACCACGATTCTGGTCAAGACCCAGGTGACTCAGGATGAGTGGAAGTTAGTGGCTAGGAGTTTCAGGTCCTCAACTCTAGGGGAAATTGGCAAGTGTGTGTGTGCGTGTGCCTGCGCATGAGCAGGTGCATACTGCAAGAAGCAGCAAGTGAGGTCTAAAAAGTAGTGTGTCATTTGTAGAGAAATACATTTCTTGGAAGATGTGTAAATGAAGTATGAATCCTTGGAGGAGACAAATGCCCCACTGAATTTGTGTGTCTCACACACTGTACACAGGAGTGCAGAAAGGGATTGGGCAGCTAGAAATGTGAAGGAGGGTTCAGAGGGGCAGGGAGAAAAATTGGGAGCCCTGCCAGCTGAACCCCAAGAAGAAAGGAGAATGACTTAATGCGCAGTTCCAGGATCTTTCCTATTCGGATGAAAAGGACTGTGAAATTAACCACCCGGCCAGTTTTCCTTTCCTGGACAGTCAAGAAAATCCCTTGCTGAAGCGTCTGGAACCCGGCCCTGAGCTGCAAATCCCTGGCCACGCACACCACAAGTGGGATGCCGCCGGTGTCACCGAAAGGACAGCAGCCCCACAGGAATGTTGGGGGGCTGCGGGAATTGGATGGGATGCCCACCTTGTGCTGGTGTCTGCTGAGGAAGTCACTGGCACAGCATTCCCAGGATCCCTGGTGAGGGGGCAGGATGAGGAGACCCTGCCTTCTCTCCCACAGGGGGCGAGCACGGAAGACCCCGTCCCCTCATGCTGACAGTGACGGGTGGTGGCCGAAATGAGGGAGAAGCACAGACAGATGAGCAGACACGCAGCCGTGCCATGACCAAGGGGTTAGGCTGAGAGAGGGTGAGTGTAGCAGAGCCCTGCGAGAGAAGTGGGAGAGCTTCTGGTTGTTCTCAGCAGCAGAGCTGGAGGAACAGCAGAAAATGAGAAGCCGGCTTAGGACACTGGGGAGGGAGCCACCGACCAGCCAGGGAAGCAGAGGGTCAGGGCCATGGGGTCATGAAGGGAGGGCCGGGCCTGGAGGGCTTGCGGAGGGCCAGTAAGCGGCAGTGGTGGGAGCCACGGGGAGAGACGCCCTGCTGCAGCCCGGCCCGAGGGCCTCCCCCATGCGTGGGCCACACGGGCGAGTTCAGTGGTCTGCTCCAGCTCCGCTGCCTCCCAGAGAAGTGGGACAGCCAACCCAGAGCCCGAAGCGAAGGCATGACCGCTGCTCAGCTCCGGGGGGGGGGGGGGGGGGAGAGCTTACGCACGTGGCCAGCACACATGCCGTGCTGTCCTCAAACGGCCACCTCCTCCCAGCAGAAGCAGGGCTGGCCGCATGCCCAGCAAAGCAGCCCGGCAGGAGGCTCAGGTGGACACGTCCAGCAAGCACGAGGCAGCTTGGGGTGAGCATCCCCTGAAAGGCAAGCTCTGCGTTCCCAGGGGATTTAGTGCTGAGAGGATCGGGGAAACAGGGACCTGAGGTCATGGGAGGCCATGTGGGTGCTTCAGCAGTGTGGCAAGACCAGGATGCAGCCACCCACCACGGGCCTCCCTGCAGAATGGTGTGGAGGTCGCAGGCCTGAAAGGGCCCATCCAGGGAGACGGCACCAGGCAAATGCTGTGCGCTCCTGGGAATGTTTGGCGTGCAAGCGTATCGCTCAGGAAAGGCTCTACCGCAACCTTGAAGGGGAAATGAAGGCAGAAACAGGCCAGCCAAAGAATCTCCCAGAGCAGGCTTCAGGGTCCCTGGCAGCAGAAACCGTGCCAAGGGAGCCAAGAGGGTGGGGTGCGTGGGAAGGGGCCTCGGTCCCCACAGCCCAGAACCGAACGGGTGCATTGGCGGGGGAAAGGACGGCACTGCAGCAGAAAGCCGCAGGGGTAGGGCTCGGCCCCTGCTGCCCAGCAGGGCCCCACACCTGCGTTTCTTCAGGGGTTTTATTCTGTTCAATCAGGGGGGTGTGATGCATGGGGCCCAGTGAAGCCCAGTGAGGAAGGACGGCACCTGTGGTGCGCAGACCCCACGGGGCCCTTGGGCAGGCAGCCTACTTCCCTTTGGCCTGCCCAGCTCGCCTCTTGGGCAAGGAGTCCCTCAGGTCATTGTCTCAGGGCAGCTGCTGCACAAGTGGGCAGGCCTCCTTGCATGGCAGCCATTTTGTGAGAGTGCCCACAAACCACGCTCGGCATTTCCAGAGGGTCCACCAACCTGGAAGGTCTGGGGCTGCCGTGCTCTTTGGCTCGTCTCCCATCTGAGCCATGGGGGGGAGTGCGCTGGGCCACACCACAGAACAACAGCGGCAGTTGCCGGGGTGAGGGGCGTGAGCACCTCGGATGTGCCAGAGGGAGCGAGGGCCTAGCGCAGGGCGAGCACCTGGCCGGGAAAGGCCCCTCCCTGCACAAACAGAGCACCTGCGGTTACTTTGCAGGAGGAGGCTGTGGCACCACGCTGGTGCTGGGCTGTCCGCTTTGGGCCTGCCCAGCAGCGGCCTCAGTTTTTGAGACGGCTTCCCCCAGATTAATGACAACGTGATCTTGGCACTCCAGGGGGCTGTTTCTGGGGAGTGCCCCCACTTCTTCAGTGTGGAAAAAGCACTTGAAAATCCATCCCGTTGGGACGTGAGAGGCCAGATGCTCTCCCGACAATTCAGCATCCCGGCCCTGCCATCTCTTCGGCCAGCTGGGAAAACACAGGGTGATTTTTAAAAACCCAGATGGAGCGGAGCCGATGTACCTGCCAAAAGCAGTTAACATATTCTCAGATAAGTGAGGAGGAAGCAAAGATTTAGGGCAAAACCAAATCAGGACTTCATGCAGTTATTCGTATCCCTGCTGTGATATGTGTGCGTGTGTGTGTGGGGG